GTGCTGCATCGCCAGTAGGGGGACTACATGATTTACAAACAAAGAAGTAAAAGTGACCACTCTTACCTTGACCGCCCCCCGCCACCATGACCCATTGAAGAAATTTGTGCCTACTATCTCCAAAGCTCTCAGAGTGACAGGTTTTGAAATCCTTTTGTCCAATTAAAAGCAGCTTTCATTAAGGGATACAGATGTCAGCAGGCAGAAAGAAGAGTATCACGGCTGTGGCAACTGGCCTTAATCATCAAGAAAAGTCAGGCCAACAGTTACATAATAGGAACAAAGGGAGTACGTTTAGCACACAGGTGATTTATTTGTCCAGCTGTAACAGTAAATGAACAAGTGCAGCAATAAGAGATGAGGATCTGGGTTGTGCCACTAAGGAAGAAGCCTACGCCAGCTCTTGAAGGGTAAGGGGAGCTTGGACTTACTAGTGGAGGAAGGAGACAATGAGTAGCATTTGGGACCCTAGAACCTGCAGCAGTGCTGGGCATTATCCTTTTTTCTCCTTCTGAGATTATCCCAGAGAGGCCCATCAGAGTCCAGGAGGAAATGACCTACAAACATATAAGAAGAAATAAATCCAGTGTCTTGAGGAATGATCTGTGATGAACGTGGAGATGCACCACCCTGTTTTCTCTTCAAGAGAGGACTTGTTGCCCAGCTTCTAAGGATGGCACCAGAAGACAACCTTCAGCTGCCAGTCTATCAGGAACTGAGTCCACCACAGAGTCATGTTGCCAAGGTCACAACCTTCCTGGGTTGTGGATTCAAAAAATATTGCTCTACATCCAATGACTGATTGAGACAGGAGTATAAAGGCCCAGCCATTTCCTTTTGTTACAGGACAACCTGATGAACTATGTGGTATGAGAATAATGCCCCCACCTGATAACTACATTATAAACACTGGAAACTTTGAATATGTTATGTTAAATAGCAAGGGGAATAAAGGTAACATAGAATTATGGTTGCTACTCAACTGTTCTGAAAGTAAAGAGATTATCCTGGATTATCTGGGTGAGCTCAATAGAATCATGGGGATCCTTTAAAGTAAAAGGGAGGCAGATAAAAGCATCAAGTCAGAGAGATTTGAAAATCCTACTCAGCTGGCTTGGAAGATAGAGGAAGAAGCCAAGAGTCAAGGAATATAGACAACTTTTAGAAGCTGGAAAAAGCAAGCAAGTGAATTCTCCACTAGACCCTCCAGAAGGAACATGGTCTTGCTGAAACATTGATCTTAGCTAGTGGTACTCATTTCTGATTTCTGAAGTCCAGGACCATAAGATAATACATTTGGGTTGTTTAAACCCATTAAGTTTGTGATACTTTGTTCCAACAGTAATAGGGAGCTAATACAGGGCATTTTTGCTCCAGAGCTACTGTGACATGGGTCAGACAAGTGTGCTCCAGGGCCTGTGTGACAGCAGGACTTCTGTCCTATCTTGCTACCTTCACCTCCTTCCCCCACATGCTGGGCACTTAAAGGCACTCCCTAGCATCCTGCAAACGAAACCCTGTGAGTCTACTTCCCAGAGAACCCAACCTAGGACAGATTATAAAAGCTCATGAAGACTTCTTATGATTATAAATATATAAGTAACAAACATAAAATTTATCATTGCTATCCATTTTCAGTATTTCTCAAAAAGTATAATGACTAATATGAACAGCACTGGCCCAGGTATTGAGACAACATGAAGTAAATGTGAAGAAAATGAGCCCAACAGGTTGATACGAGTTTAATTCCTGCTCTTTACTTGGTGCATTACACTAAACTTTCCAGATTTAATTTCCCTCTCTTGCCACCCCATCCCATAAATAAGAAAGATAAGTACCTTCCACTAGATAGTATTAAGCAAGGGAAAATTTTTAAACATTTTAACCAGTATTTACTGATTTGTGAAAACATCTCAGTAGAAGTTAAATTTACTTAACTATACCTCACTGTTTTTTCCCTGAGAAGTAAAGTCATTTAACAGTAAATAAATGATATCGTTATTTATCCTAAGTAAAGCATAAATAAAGTGGAGCTGGTAAATTATTATCAAATTACATGATGTTGCCCTCAAAATGTGTGCTTCAAGCTGAGTGCTCTGGAAGATTTGTGCGACCTGGGCAGGTGAAGAAAGGCTTCTTGAGGAATATGGGAGCTTAGCTGAGCTCATAAAAACACTAGGGAGAGAGAGAAGTGGACAGAGGTGTCCTCACTTCAATTCTAGCATGCGATCTTAGTTCAGGTAAATGCAATTTGGAGGGGCAAACATCAGATAATCAAGTTTGCACAATGCCGCAATTGTTTTGTTTTAACTGGTAATGTGTACAGTGTATTTTGAAATGTATTACATAAATATGAAGCATTATTATAACCAAGAGGAATCTGAGAAGGAGAACAAAGGGGATAAGGACAGCAATGTTTAAACTATGTGCTAATCTCAGATATATACCAAAAAAACCTTTGAAATTATGGTTAGATTTATGGCCATGGGTATTGTTCTCATTTCAAGCTCCTACTTTCCATTTATCATCTTTATATTCATATGGCATCTCTATTTTCAATGTCTTACAAATTTCTCCCTCTTCTAGTAACTTTTTAGCTGAAATTTCACATGCTCCATATCAGCTCAGAAGCAAATTCTTTTCTGGAAGGTTGAACCTATCTGTTCAGCCATTTCTGAGTTACCCAGGCATGAGCAAATGTTGTTTAGGAAATTTGTCAAGATCCACTTTTTGTGTGTTTAGATTTAATTCAAGATGAGTTAAATTAAAACCTCCAGAGCCATCAGGCACATATTCTCTCAGGAAAAAAGCATTCTTTGCTTTGAGATATAATTGGTTGAGGTTTACACTCCACTTTCTGTATATATGGAGTGTGGTTATGAAGAGATCTATTTAAATCCTGGAAAATCCTTTGGGTTTCCAGCCCCTCCACACATGTTGTATTTTTAAAAATGCTTTTTTTTTTGTTTGTTTTTGGTCTTTCTTTCTTTTTTCCCCTCTACAAACCACTGATGCTCCAGGGGGATTTGAGGGTTAAGAACACCTGTCTGACTATATTGACAGACAGTAATAAAAGTTTTATTCTATGAAAAATTAGAAAAATAAAGGTTTATGATATTTATTTATTTTTAGGAACTTGGGCACTGGTCCTTCCATTGTAGACGTGAATATTTGTGTTGCTGGTAGCGTCTATTAAGCAAATATTGGATATCTTGAAAAAGTTTTTCTAAGATGACATCCTTTAGTGTGCTAAAATGCTGATAACTTACAGAATGAAAAATAACTACAGTAGGAATAGGTGGATGGGGTGGAGAGAGGAGACAACAGGGCAGAAAAACCTTTATGACCTAGCAGATGGTCCCAAGACATATGGATGTGTTCCAATTATCTATTACTGCATGATAAAATGCCTCAAAATTTAATGGCTTGGAACAACGATCCTTTTATTATCATCATATCTTTTGGGGTTGGCTGGGCTCCGCTGGTCAGTTTTTGTTCAGGTCTCTCATGCACTTGCAGTGTGTTGGGCTAGCACCCTCTCAACACTCACTCATTCACTCATCTACCTCTTGGGATGAAAAAGCTCAAATATCTCAGGCTCCTCAGCATATCTTCCTGGCTTTGTATCTCTTCTCTCCAGTATAGCAGGTTCAGGGTGGCCAAACTTTTTTCAAGGCAGTTCTGGACTTCAGAGGTCTGTGTCCCAAGTAAGAGAGCCAGGTGGAATCTGCACTGACTTTTCTAACCTAGCCTCACAAGATAGTCACAAAGGCCCACTCAGTTTCCAGCAGATGCGACAGGTGCCACCTCTCAGTAAGAGGTGCACCAATCTGCAGATGTGTTTTCAAGCCACCACAGGACTTAATAAACCTCTGGCAGAAAGTCTGGGACAGAATAATGAGTCACTCACAAAACCACAAATTGTTTCATCACGGGACCCCTTCTGCTGTGGTGGAAGCATACTCGTGTTTAAGGGCTCCTTCAGAGTTAGACAGCCTGCCTGGACTTGCCGCTGCTGGGACACTTACTGATTTTGGAGTCTTAAGCAAATCTCAGCGCCTCCATTTTCTTATCTAGAAATTGGGGATAATGAGAGTTAACATTTATTGAGCGCTTAGTAGGTGACAGACCTTGTCCCAAGTGCATTATGTACTTACTAACTTATTTTATAACCAAGGGAACTCTACCTCCTAAGTTATACGGTAGAGCCATCCTTCAGGTCTGTTGTGTGGATCAAAAGGGGCCATCTAGTATGTTCATTCTTGATATTATTAAAGCTGTTGGGGCAAATTCTACTGATGCCAGTCAGGAGAGTGAGTCAGTTCTGGAAATGCATCAGCCGTGCACAATGCCGCACAGGAGTGCAGATTGTTCCCACTACAGATGTAAGACCAGTGCGGTCTAAGGGGCGGGGGGAGGGAAGAGGAGCGGGGAGGGGTAGGTAAGATTTCTTCAAGTGGCCAACCGGCCCAAGTCTAACCTGAGACTATGGGTACAGAATCCAGAGCATTTTGCAGAGTGGGACTAGGAGCACCGTTTTGAGTTTGCAAAACAAGTGTTTATTTCATTCCTGAAAGAGAAATTAACAACTGCAGGCAGTCGGAAAGCGTTCTGCGGGGAGAACACTCGGCCATCTGCCCAAAGCGTTCCCTAGTGTCAGGGGCCCGCGTCTTAGCCGGATGCACGTTGCTGACACCTTTCCCGGGCGCCTCTAGTCTTTTCTGCCTCCCATCGCGTCCCCATCGCCACCCGTGCCTCCCTAACTCCCTGAACACCTTCCTCTTCTCCTTCTCTCCTAAGGTGCCTACTCCCGCGATTGCAGAGCGCCCATCTTCCCAGTCCCAGCAAAACCCGGAGAGGCGGAATCCCTCGCCGGGAGCGCCCCGGCGGCCACTGGGCATGCTCCGTTGTCAGGCAGGTTCGCAGCTGCGAGCAGCTTTGGAGCCTCACGGATTCCTCCTGCTGCCGCGCGTCCGCCTCCTCCCGAGCAGGGAGCGGGCGCATGATGGCGGCGGCGGCGGCGGCCGGGAGCGCCAGCGGCGGCAGCAGCGGCGGCGCGGGCAGCAGCAGCAGCGACACGTCCAGCACCGGCGAGGAGGAGCGGATGCGGCGCCTCTTCCAGACGTGCGACGGCGACGGGGATGGATACATAAGCAGGTACTCGGGGAGGTACGCGAAAGCGGCTGGGGCGAGACCCGCCCCTCGGCGCTGCCCTTGACCCCCTCCTCTGCCCTCTCGCCCCAACTTCTAGCAAGTTGCTCAGAAGCTCACGGGAAAAGTTGGCTGTGACTCTGGGAGCTCGTCGCCGGCTCGGTCACAGAGGCCGAGAGGGTGTTTGACTCGCCTTCTGGAGCTGCCAGCTGATCCAACTTTTCCCAGCGCTGTCTTTGTCTGGGCGTGGGGAGACATCTCTTTAGGATGTGAGTCCTCCTCTGGGTCTCGGAGCGCTCCTGCCTGTGGGAAGCGGGTTCTGGCAGCTCGTCCTAGGTAAAGTGGGAGCTGCTCTGCAGCCTCGGGCTCCCGGGTGTCAAAGTGCGGAGGCACCGGGGCAGCGATCCGCCCGGCTGCTCAGTGGACAGCCCGGGGATGGACCAGGATGGGGATGCGCTCTCAGTGACAAATTTGGACATGAAAACAAGCTGTGAAGAACTTTCATGTGCCACAGAGTCTCTGTAGCCCGAACTTAAGAACTCGAAGAATGGATGTAGTGTGTCTCCAGTACTGGTTTAAACCTCTTAGCCCGAGGGGAAGGAAGCTCTCAGGCGCACAATGGGGAGTTAGAGGCGAGTCTGGAATACAGACCTTACTTCCTACCCCGCCTCGGCGCTAACCAGGTGAGCCTCCAGCGGGGGTCTCGAGATTGCTCTGCACCAAGACTCAGCCCTCGCGGTGTTTGCTTCCAGATTCCCTACGGGGGCAGTGTTGCGGCTTCAAGCCTTAGGGCTTGTCCAAGTAATTACTTCTGTCTAGATTTTCATCACTTATCAGACACTGATATTGAAGAAGGCAATCGTAATGTTTCACGGCATACTTCTATGAAAGGTTGAATACAGGGCTCTAAAGACCTTACTCGCTGAAATTTGAATTGCCTTTCAGGAAGCAGGCAGCCTAAATTGTGTATTACACCTGTGCATTGCATCTTTGCCTTGGTGATGCTAAAGAAAATTCCAGTTTGCTTCCTGCTGATTGTCCTTGCCTACTTAAAGGAAAAAGTGGGGAATCCGCCCCCCCACACACACACATACATTTTTTAAATCTCTGAGACAGGTAATTTGGCATGTAAGAATTTAACAATTAGAAGAACAATCATTTACTTTGAACTTTTGACTGAATTATGATCATTCTTACCTGAATTTTATTACTTTTCTAAAGCTTCATTGGGAAACATTAGCAAGATATCCGAAAACTTTAGGGAGTAATTCTGTTCTGAAATGAAAAAAATATATATAACTCTAGTTGACCCCACATAGACTTTTATCTGAAAGTCTGTCCCTGTTTTAATTCTAGGGGGAAAAAAGATCATATAGTTTCGATTTGTTGGGGTGGTGTTCCTCATTTTCAGTAATAAAAACAATCTGCATTCTTCATGTTAGGATACAAAAAGAATGTAGTTCACATGGGCAAGAGTGCATGTAGGAAACTAATAGAATTCTCTCCTTCCCCTCTTCTAATCTGGCCTATGAATATGCTGCTTTATCTGATCTAGACTTTCTGTACAAATACTTATAGTATTTTGAATGGTGGCTGCATCTCCCTGAAGGATAATGAATTCTGTGAGCATAATTTGAGGACTTTGTGTTGGAGGGTAAGGCGTTATGTGTAAGGTGGTGGTGGTAAAGGGGACTTAGAGTAGAAACCTGCTGAGCAAAAGTGGGGAAAAAACTGTATCATTCCTTGAATCACATCAGTTTACTATATCTGCTTCAAACTTGAAAGCCTTATGCCATAATGAACCCTAAACTTTAACTGTGGTTAGAGTTGCTCTGGAAGTTGTGCTGTGACAGAATTCCCATGTAGGAGGATTTCAAGGATGCAAACTTATTGAAAGGGTGCACCAAGTAACTTCACTAGAAGTACGTTTACTCAGCAAGCACAGTTTTACCTGGAATATAAATAGTATGGTTTGTGGAATGGTGTAAATGAAGATAAGTGGCATTAAATGACTCCTGCAAAGCTGCTTCTTTGTGCTACCCTGTTTAATGACCTTTACTAACCACTTTAGAGCAGGTGTTAAGGTATGGAATGCTATGAACTTTCTCATTTATTAAACATGAGAGTTGCACTTTCTACATTAAAACCTTAAAAACCTTGGGTTCTTCAAAAAATGTTCATCTTTATACTCATGGTACAGCCATATCCATTGAGATTTTAGTTGGTTATATATAATAGAAGCCTAACCACAGTCAAAAAAGGGTTGACTTTCTCACCTGGAAATCTGGGGTGGTCGTCCAGGCTGGGACAGCAATTCCACCATAGCGTCAATTCCCAGCTTTCTTCTATCTTAATGCATTGCCAATCTTCACACGAAGCATTTATCCTCATGGTTACCTGCAAGTCTTCAAGTGATTGCTTTATTTCAGCCTCATCTCGAAGTTCTATGGAGAAAGGTGTAAAAGGAAACTGAAATGAGTGTTGCCTATATCATTAAACAGAGCTTTCTCAGATCCCTTAATTGAAATCTTACTGGTCAAATCACATCACCTTACCATGCCTTTTTGCAACAGAGTTCAAAGAAGCATGTAATTCACTTGGTCATATTGCCTCCTCAACAAAATTGGAGTTCTGTTACTAAGAGCCAGGAATGAATATTGGGCAAGCAAATAACAACCAAAACATATACTGTAATAAATAACCCACATTCAACTATATTGGCTCTGGTCCTTTGTCTAGCCCTCATTCTCAAGCAGGAATGGGCTATGGATTGTATGTTTGGAGAAAGGGTAAGTGAAAGACTTGGTGTGGCAGGGAAAATGTCAAGGTACACCATCTCAGGAAGAGGCAAATAAAAGGAAGGGCTTTGAATATTCAATATTCTTTTGGCCCACCCTTCCCCATCAAACAGACAAAAAAGATATCTGCTAACTGGAAATTCCTGGAATAGCTGCTTCTGCTAAGGAACTCCCAGCCTGCCAGGGGGACCTAGAATCATTCTCATGGCTATTTAAGCTAGAGGAGACGACTTCATTCAGGTGGAGTCAAACTGCAGCTTGGACAGGGCAGGATTGGGGCTGCACAGTGGAACCACAGCAGGCCCTTCTGTGCATTTCATTAGCTCTGCAGGCACTTAACTTCACATTTTATAGTATTGAGTATATAGTATAGTATATATTTGGACCCTATTTATGATGTTGTAGGAGATGATGGGGTTACTCTATTTGTTAAAATTAACTTCTCTCTAGTATTTTAAAGCTTCTTGCTTTTACCCTTCAGTTTAAGAAACCATCTTGAACATGTTGAGAAATATTTAAAACCAACACTTATACTTATATCTAGTTCCCAAGCTTCAGCTCAAATGTTGATGCCTTTAGAGAAAGCTTCCCTGATGACTCTTATCAAAGTGGGTTCACTCTGCCCTGACATTATTCTCCATTATAGTATCAATGGCTTTCTTCCAAAGCACTCTTTACAACTTGTAATTGCATTTCTATTAACTACTTTTTTTGCCTCTTTATTGTGATTCTTCCACTAGATGTAGCCTTCATGAAGGCAGGAATCATGTCTGTTTTGTTAAAACAGTGCTCTCAGGACATTGCATGGTATTTGCCATATAGCCATAAATAAGTAAATCCTGATGAACAAATTACCAAACTAAAGAATGGTACATTCATGTGTATTGAAAATTCTTTTAAGAATTTTCATTTCCAAGCATATTTCATGTTTATAAAAATACTTTAAATGTGAGTATATTTTTATTAAAGAATATTTCTTTTAAAAATAACTTTCTCCTGGTTATATAAAATATATTTTTGTTGAAAATTTGGAAAAATACAGAAATGTACAAAAATGAAATAAAGTCGTCCACTATCCCATAACCAAGGAATATTATTTATGTTTTCCTGGTGACATATCTGCATGTTATTATTCCTCTACTACATTAAAAATAATTAGACAAAAGGAAAGACATTCCATGCTCATGGATAGGAAGGTTTACATTGTTTTGATGGCAAAAATCTCATAAATCGATCCACAAATTTAATACAGCCTTCCTCAGAATCCCAGCCATTGTTTTTTTTTTGTTTTGTTTTACAAAAACTGACAATCTGATCCTAAAATTCATATGGAAATCAGAGGGACCCCAAAGTATTCAAAATAATCTTGAAAACATTTTAAGGACAAAGTTATAGGATTCACGCTTCCCTGTCTCAAAACTTACTACAAAGCAACAGTAATCAAGACAGAGGAACACTGGCCAAAAGATAGACATATAGGTCAGTGAAATAGAACTAAGAGTCCAGAAGCAAACCCAGATGTCTCTGGTGGACTGATTTCCAACAGGAGTGCCAAGGCAAGGATGACAAAATCAAAGGTGAAATGAGAAAAGAATAAACATTTCAACAAATGGTACGGGGACAACTGGATAGCCACATATAAAAGAATGAAGTTGAACACTTTCCTCACATACAGAAATGTATATATTCCTTACATTCTTCATACAAAAATTAAGTCAAAAATGGATCAAACGCTTAAATGTAAAAACTAAAGCTATGAAACTCCTAAAGGAAAATATGGGACAAAATCATTACCTCCTTGGATTTGGCAGTGGATTTTTATGTATGATACCAAAACAGGCTATAAACAAACAAAAAAATAGATAAATTGGGCCTCATCAAAAAATTTTAAACTTGTACATTAAAAGACATTATCAAAACAGTAAAAGACAATACGGAGAAGGAATAACATGTTTGCAAATCATATATTTGCCAAGGGACTTGTATCCAAATTATATAAAGAACTCTTACAAGTCAATAATAAAAAGATAAGTAACTTTTTTTTATATAACACAAATGCAACTTTATTTTATCATGTAACACAAATGCAAATTTATTTGGCTTTCTTGTTGCCTTTTTAAAAAACATGCTCAGCAGGGGGTTTACACATGTAGGCCTGAAACTTGCCCGATTTAAAAAATAAAAAGAAATCTTAGGTCATTCAAAGTG